GATTGCAAGTGAAATTACAATGTTACATCCTTACACATCTTGCATCTAAAAATTCAACATTCAAATGCTAGACACAGTGGCCTATCAGTCCCTATGATTGCGAGTGAAATTACAATGTTACATCCTCACACATGTAGCATATATCGAATTCGACATTCTTTAGTTTATTCATTCAAACAAAATTTTATTGTGTATCAGAAAATGATACTTAATCTTGTTTTTCAATAAGTCGATCGGTACAAAGTTTGCAATCATATATCAAAAGTAAATGCATAATTTTATCTGAATTTATCTTATTTTCTCGTCATGCAAAAAATATTTCAACTCTGCGGAATTTGAGCTGGAAATGCTTGTAGCACAATTTTTGACCAAAGAAAACTCAAGTGAACATAAATTTCTAGTTACAAAGGAAGCAGATCCAATCATGTGGTCATGGAATCAATTCTCCTTTCTTTTTGTGGGAAAACCTGTAAAAAAGTTGAATGTACAGTAACAAGAATAGTATTTGATTCCCAACCAAATACAATGAAATAACAAGCTTCATGATAAAACAGATGCCCCCCTCGAAGAACAACTATGATTATTCTAGGTACTACAATCATCACAGTTCATAGGAGAATTATATTTTCACAGGAAAAGAAAATCAACCTGACCATCATTGATCTGCACCAAGAAAAAGAAAAAACCCTAACTGACATCCTTTCCTTGGTGATCAATATAGCAAATTAAGTCTTCTCAGGTGATGATTACAGGAAGAATAATCTGTTATATCTATGGATTAAAGTACATAAACCCCAGCATTATTACAATTTCAGTTTTTTATTTCTTTTTTATCATCTATTGGTGGAGAAACACAATTAAGATCTAATCCCCAACCTCTAATTAAAAAAGTGTGGCGAACAATGCTAGCAATAATAAGGTGTGATTACACTTCCATCAATTTGCTTCCCTATTGTTTGCTTGCAACACTATTTTCTCTCTGTATTTTCAGCTACATGGGAACAACATAGAGATGAATCTTCACCAAGTTGAGACGAACAGCAGCAGCAATGTGGTCACTGTTCTCGCTCGAGCCACATCACAGAATGGCAAAAAACAAGTGCTGGTCCGGTGGTTTCCATGAAAGCGCAGGGTTTCCTCGTAGAGGACAGTTCAGTCAATTGAAGCAGGCAAGGTTCAGGACAGCTACGTTATTTCCCCAAAGATTAAAACAAAAAAGAAAAGAGATAGTTGCATCAGAAAGATGTGACCCCCATAAATGAAGAGACAACCCTACAACACAACACATACCCACCAAAAAGAAAGCCAGAAACCTAGGGACCCTAAAAACCAATTTCTGTGCACCTGAGAGTAGGACAGCATGATGTCACAGTTGAAGGGCTACCGTCAGGCTGCCGATTGTTCCTTTTGCAGTGCTTTTTCCCAACTCTTATTATTTTATTATTTGATTGTTCCAAGCAATTAATAATACCAACACTTTGTTAACCCTGTTAGATACTTAATGAAGAAATAAGTTCCTAACTCACAGTTTGGCGTATCTGGGGAAAAGATTTTTTTTTCTCTTTTTTTTTTCTTGGGTTTTTGGATTTTCTCCGGATTGTACTGGCTGGCTCCAGTTCTACAAGGGGGTCCTGCTCTGGTGGGAGTTTTGAATGATTTTTATTGCTATCCTGCCGGTTTATGTGTGCAAAAGATTAGGGCAGACGAGGCAGAAGGATTTGATTGGGATTTAATTATATATCAAATCAGTTTTCAGGAAATAATCTGATAAGATATCGATTGATTCAGTGTCGTTTTTAAGTGTTTCCGAATGTTTTTTGTGGTGTTGGATTCAACTCTTGCTGCTTTTCCCATCTTATGTTGATTAGCTATTACATACCATTTTGATGGGTATATTCCAAATTGAGTAAATACATTATATCACTTCATGAATACTAATGTAGCAATGTTAGTTGAGATTACAAGGTTGAGCACAAAATATGTAGCTAGGCATGAATGGATACTAACAATGCAATTAGATTACTTCTTATTAATAAAACCAAATAATTTAATTTGTTAGTCATTGAAGCAACATTGGCTGATAAATTACCTTTGCTTTAGAACCACTTAAGCATCTTTTTTTCAAGCAAAAGTACATATATACTCTCAGACAAATAATTCCAACCTTTCCATATATTTTACAAAACAAAAATAAGGCAATTACATCTGTAAATTCGATCATATTACCCTAATTAGAAAAGAAAAAGAAAGGGGGGAGAGAGATAAAAGGCGTGGGCAAA